GGTAACCGCGTCGGTATGTGTCATCGGTAACCGTGCCGGTACATATGGATTAAATCTCGGGTCGCTGGCGCGTGCTAGTAGGAGGCAGCCGGAGGAGAACTACTTCTCCTCACGGCGCACGATATGGTGCTCCGCACTGTACATACTATCGACATGAAGCTGTAATCAGAAGTCGTTTTCTATTTTTTTCGAGAGGGGAGCAGGGGGGAGGGGCGAAGCCCTCATTGCACTCATTATGTCGAAAAAGACATCAATTCTAGTATCAAAATTACATATTGAGCGAAAAGCCAATTACGAACGAAGAAATCAAAACGAAACAGAAACTTTCGGGGTATGCTACATATACACACATTGTGTGCACATTGTTGGCAACATAAACATTACTCATTTCCTTCTGAAATGTACACGGTGTCGGAGAAAATTGGTTTATTCATGAAACTTTTTTTGTTCATAACTTTTTTTTAAACAATGAGCGTCGGCTAAAACCTTCATATTGTTATTCAGGAAGGTAATCTTAATAATATATGTGAACGAGAAGCCGATTGGAGGAGGTTTCCCTTTTCTGTATATTTACCATAAAATTTTGTAAAGTAATTTTTTTTGACAAAAAACAGCATAAAACTATGTTGTAATTTACCCTTAAATTTTAACATGTACGAAGTCAAAGATTTAGCCGCTCGTAAAAGAAGCAAGTAGCTTTCATAAGTCATTTGGTATCTATCAGACTGTTGTCAGAACCTGGTGTAAGCTCGGAGTCATATAGCAATTCTCCGACGCTTGCGCGCGCGTACAAACATGTGAATGAACGCCTCAAGCTAAGCTTTTCTGCTGTTCGCTGAGAGCTTCGCAGTCGGATGTATTATCGCTATTGGAACGCTTCCATTCTCGAGTAATAGTTCGACCGTTTTTTCCTTCCGCATTTGCTTTTACCCGTACGTAGATACTTTAAATAACAAACTGTTAATGACAAAAAGAACAATAGAAAAAAGCAATAGAAGACAAATTTGTTTTTCTGTAGAGCCGTGAGTGACAATTGTTGAAAGTTGCCGCAAACTATTAAAAGAAAATACTAATCTTTAGTGTAGACAAATCTCTCTGAAGAGATTTGTTAGAAAATTGGAAAAAGATAAATCTTGTTTTGATGACAAGACGACAGCGTCTTTTCTGGTGGCGAGGAAACACCGAAGAGATCTGAAGATTTTCGCATCGATTATATCTTTACGAAAAATCACGCGATTTAAAATGAGCAAAGAGAACAGCAGCAGCGAGGACGCAGCAGCTGTTGCCGCGTCAGACGCTCCAGCAAACACGCGGCCGAAAGATCCAAACGCGGATATGTACGAAAATCGGCCAAAGAAAATCATCCGCGTAGTCACCGTAATAGCGTATCTATTCTCGGTGAGTTTCGCGGCGATTCTCCTGAGCACGTATTATATCTTCCTGTGGGAGCCGCCAAATCCGAGGCTGATCGAACGGGAACGTCTGCGAGCTGATCCGGAGATGCAGTTTTTATTCGCCGACGCACCGTCTTCTTTAGAGAAGAAAGGCAATCTCGAGCTCGATCGTGATTACATGCCTTTTCAGAGTCGCGTAACCGATTACGTTGACGATCCTGATGAGAAGCAGATAAAGTTAAACACGATGCTGATAAAACTCAGATATTCGCTCGTGGAGATTATGCGCGCTCATAACGGCAGCCGGTCGCTCGAACCTACAATTTCCGACGATCTGTTTGTCATGGTAAAAGAAATGCTTAACTCAACAAAGAAGAGTCACGAAAACAACTCGATGCCAAAATACGATAAAAACATTGCCAAAGAAAAGACTCAAAGTGTCAGTAACGTTGATTTGCCTCTGAAATCCGAGAAGTCTATGAATATAAATGTAGAGAAATATTTGCGAAATCGCACGAGTCGTTTCTTGTCTACAAACGTCGATAATTTCCGACAGAATCACTCGTTCGGTATGAACTATTTCAACAACAATAATAACAGGAATAATACTTTGAACAACCAGATGGAGAGGATCATTGCACGCAGTGGAGTATCGATAGAGTCATCATTGCCTCGCAGTTCAAAATTTGCCGACAATCCAGAACTCCATCATTATTCGTTGAATAATTCTCCCGCCGTAAAGCCGTGGCTATACACGATGAATTCGGAAGGTGAGGGGAAAATCTGTGAGCGGATTTGCCAGCTTTTATTACGACACGAGGATAAACACGGTCGTGCATGAGACGTGCTTCTGTAATTATACAATGGCGGTTTGCGTCATGTCTTTTTGTCGCAATCGTGATACTTTCTATGCGTCGATGCCCTAGCTTTTCTTAACAATCATAATCGCACATGTCAAGATTAAACTGAAAAAATGGTAAAAATTCAAATTATACTGATCGACAAAATATGACCTTTCTTCAGGTTACGAAATACTATCATGATTTCTAGTAAATTTTTTAGCGCTGATTACGAATCTGGCCGTAAAAGTTGCTTGGTAGGTCAGGATTTTGAAAAAATCGCAAATATATATGCAAAAAATGCCTTTTTTAACATTTTTGCATCTATTATATTTTTTAACTGGGACGTGATATTGAGTGCTACAAGCGTGCAAAAGAAAGCTTGTGACTTACACTTGATGTAGCAAGTACGAAAAAGTTCAAACCAACAAAAAAACTTGCGTACAAAGGTGGAAAGTTTCAGGTTTCATGATTTTCTTAATACCTTAATCTTCATAATTTTTTTCCTAGAATCGATTGGCGCAGATTTGTTTTTCAACAAATATTTGTAACAATTTATTTAAACCGGTTTTATATATATATATATATATATATATA